CACCCTGTGAGGTGGGTGGGGCTGAGAGAGCTCTTGACAGAAACTGCTCTTTTTTCAAGAACAGCTCTTATCAGAACTACAGCTTGCCCAAGGTCATCCAGCCAGGTGCAAGTGGAGGAGTGGGGAATCAAACCCCATTCTCCCAGATTAGAGTCCGCGCACTTAACCACGACACCAAACTGGCTCTCGAAAGTTTGTAGAAAGTTACATGAATGTCTAAGAATGTAGGCTCTGAAGCAAACAAATGAGGTATTTAAATCAACAGCCAAGCGCTAGGAAAAGTGTAATAGGTCAGGCTGACAGCAGGTCGCAAACCCATTCTAATTCTACGGAGACCTAAACTTGGCAGGCATGCGAACAAGGCCAAAATCGGCAGGAGGGAGCTTTGGCTAGAGAAGCTACAGTGACTCGACAATATTTACAGCCATATGCTGGAGGCAGAGTCCCTGTTTGATCCATGTAAAGAATCTCAAAAGGTTGAGTGCCCTTGGGAAGGGGCCTGGGCAGGGGTTTGGCTATGTGTAATGTATCTGTAGGGTATAGTGTCAGCTGGGGTTGTTTGGACCTCTTCAGCCCTCTAGTTTTGGCGAGCTGCCTAAGTGGGTGGAGTTTCTTGTTCTTGATGTTAATTGTGTCCTGAGATAAGAAATTAGTTGTGCTTCAGACATGTTAAGATTCATTTTTCTACTCTCTTGAGACTGCCTCAGTTCCAGAACCGATTCTCTGTCGTCTCAAGGCCGACCCAGTGACCCAGCAGCCTTGGTTTCACCACCTTGCTGCAGTCTCTCAGCACTAGAACCAATGTTCCCTCTAAGCTGTGGAGTCTTGTGAGCAAAAATTCTATTTTATGAGCTACTGGCATTAAAGTTGTGAGCGAGCGATTTGGCCACTGCATAAATTAGTTTGCTCTGGAGCCATCCTTCCTGAGCCAAGGCAAAAATGTGTGAGCCGGAGGCTAAAAAACTGTGAGCAAGCTCACACCAACTCAGCTTAGAGGGAACACTGACTAGAACCCGGTCCTGTTCAGCACAGGGGCTGGTTCAGGCAGAGGCAAGGCTTGCTGTTGCCATCGACGTTTTAGGGCTTTTGAAAAAAATAAGAGGGGGAGCTCTGATGCTACCAGTAACGCCACCAAGGAGGACAGCATCCTCCCTTGAAAATCCTCAGTACATAACCCACGTGAGGAAGAAAATAAACTGACTTAAAGACTATAAAAATGCATGGAGGGAGGATGTGCGAAGAACCCTGCCCAAACTGATTCCAGTGCTTCTGGATCAACTCCCAAGAAAATCAGGAGTCTTCACATGTTATGATTACTTTGTATGTTGGCCTTAAGACCGTAATAATAATAAACTAGAGTCACTGGGGAGTGCAGAAAAGGTCTGAAATTGTGAAATGAAAACAGAATTCTCTCCGTCTACTCAGTAAAGGCACATTCTCGATGGAGGGGAGCTCTGAGTTAGGGATGGCGAGTAAGCCCCGAACCAGGGCTCAGTCCAGGTCATTTCTAGCTCATGAAGTCAGGGGGGGTGGGGGCGTTTCAGAGGAGGAGGAGGGAGTCTTACCTCTTCTTCCTACTTCTCTCTTTGAGAATCTGGGGGTGGGTGGGGAGGACAAGTGGGACTGGGGAATTTGTGTCTCACAAGGCTTAGGACAACCAAGAAATAACAACTGTGTACTGATCAACCCACCCAAGAGCAATAAAAGAGAGACTACAATACAATGCAAAACATGTAATCCATCATGGGACAATACATGAATATAATCCAGAATAACAGTCTCCTGAAACCCAATCTGGAATAGGTGTCCACAATGAAGTCAGGTACACTTTACAGAAGCCAGATGTCCAATCCTTTTCAACACTTTTCCTAGGTACAAGAAGTGTTTCGGACTTCAGGTCCTTCCTCAGGAGCTATAAGCCAATCCTGTAAGTCTCTTAGCAGATTCTTAATAAGTACAATCATTCAGGTTTCAAGTGGGCTAGGTCTCCTATATTTTAGAAAGCACCTGTAAGGGTTGCTACTACGTAAATTGGGTTTCAGGAGACTGTTATTCTGGATTATATTCATGTATTGTCCTATGATGGATTACATGTTTTGCATTGTATTGTAGTCTCTCTTTTATTGCTCTTGGGTGGGTTGATCAGTACACAGTTGTTATTTGTTGGTTGTTCTTGGTCACAAGGCTTAGGGCCAACTCCAGCAGCAGAGAGCCTGTCGATACCTCCGACACTTGTCTGCTTCTTCAGCGGATTTGGAAAAGAGGAATGTTTTTGCCAGTTTGACGGGTGGCAGATAGAATTCGCTTGGCAGATATCCTGATGTCGTAGAAGAGGGTAACCACAAAAAACCTACTTTCTGAGCCCTTCTGAACCTCCAAGACTTGAGCGTTTGAAGATGAACCTCAACAAGAACAGTTATAGGAAAATGTCACCCTCGAGTGGATTCTCTGAGGAATAGGATCCCTCTCTGCCCCAGGATCTTGCCACATCTTGAGAATTTATGATGTTCCTCTGCTCTGTGGATTCCTCGATGCTTAGGAAGATAACCTCTGGTCTTCAAAGGGGAAAAAAAAAATAGCGAAAAAGAGACATTGGAAGAGAAAGAAGATAAGAAGAAAGGGAAAGGCGTATAGAGCTCTGCCTGAAAAGGAGGAAAAAATGGAGAAAGGAAAGACAAGGACAATGTAAGTGGAGGCTTAAAAGAGACAAAATGGAACCGAGACACGATTTTTCAAAAAATATTGTGGAGAGAGTGGAAATGAACTACCATCTGAGTAAAGAGAAACAGCACATAGATATGTTACTACGGGGGGAAAAAGCTGCAGAGTTACAGAAGGCAAATTAAACTATATGAAATTCTACATGTTTTGATTCCTATTATTTTTGTTTGTCAGTGTAATAACGACTTATGATGGAATGAACAGATTAGAATAATTGGAAGTTTCCTTACTAGAATGATCTTAAGTTGCTGGACGATATGAATTTAGGGGTGGTGGAATGAAATGAATTGAATATGGTAAAAGTGTTTACTAAAATTATTTTGGTTTGGTTTGTATTGTCTCTAAGGCGTTTTTGGCATTTGCCAGTTTCATTGGTGTTTTTGAAAGATGTGCAGTGGAGAGAAATAAGTATTGTGCTCTTAGAGTATAGGAAATAATGAAGGGGGGTAAATTTAAGAGTGCTGGAATGATTTGCTTTTGCTTGTAGGTGTAATCATGATTCGTAATGGAATAAAAAGATTAGAATAATTGGATGTTTACTAATTAGAATATAATGTTAAGTGTGCGAGGATATGGATTTAAGGGTGGTGGAATTAAATGATTTGAGTATGGTAAAAGTGTTTACTAAAGTTGCTTTGGTTTTTTATTGTCCTTAATATGGTTTTGGTCCTTGTCAGTTTCATTTGTGTTTGGTAAAGATGTGCATTGGTGAAAGAATGCTTGCAAATGGTATAAATTTAAGGGTGCTGAAATGATTTGAAATGATTTGATAAAGGCAAAGTGTCTATTCAATGGTAAATTATTAATGGAATTTTAGGAAGGGGAAATAGTTAAGAAGCACTTGGGTAACTATATTGATCCCATTATATGTCTAGGGTAAATTTAATTATAAGTACTATAGTAGGCCTATTTGGTAGACACTTTTGACTTAAAATGTAAGGAGGTAAACAGTAAACAATGAAAATGATGAAACAACCTTAAAAAATAACAACAAGGAAATTGGATGCTGGAATTAATGGACATTTATCTAGTATTTTATCCCAAGGGAACAAATTTGAAAAAGATTAATTTAAGGTTTAGAGAGAGGAGAAAGAGGGAACCTTAAAAGTTATTATTAGTGGATATATGTAGTTGAAACCTTTTTGGTGAATATGTAGAAGGAAAATCTATGTAGTTGGATAGCAATGTTGCTTTGTATAATTTATGTGAAGTATAAGAAATTAACTATATCTGTATTAATAATTGTTGGTGAATATGCATTATTGTGAAAAACCCAATAAAAAGTTTAAAAAAGAAGAAGAAGAAGATAACATCTGGTCTTCAGTCCCCTTCCACCCTCAGAGCATATCCTTGCATTTACCCGAGAGATCAACTTGAGGCTTCTTTCATGGTTAAAACTCTTTCCACAGTCCATGAATATGTCATTTCTTCCTGGTTAGGGAAACGTTTCTATGCCAATGCAAACTCTTTACAAGAGATAACATGGTGCAAAACCTTTCTATAGTATAGAGGGGGTTTTAGGTATGCAAAAAGGAAGGAGCTGTTTTTACAGGTTACAAAGTTACATGGTTTCTCCTAATATGGGTTCTTAAATGTTTTTGAAGAGCGCCACTCTGATGGATTCTCTTTCCACACTGAACATTCAAAAAGTTTCTCACCCTGTGTGAGTTCTCTGATGCCGTTGAAGACTGCCACTCTGACTGAATCTCTTTCCACAGTCTGAGCATTCAAAAGGTTTCTCCCCTGTGTGGGTTATCAGATGATTTTGAAGAGTGACAATCTGGCTGAATCTCTTTTTACATTTTGAGCATTCAAAAGGTTTCTCCCCCGTGTGAGTTCTCTGATGCCGTTGTAGATGGCCACTCAGTCTGAATCTCTTTCCACACGCTGAACATTCAAAAGGTCTCTCCCCAGTGTGGGTTGTCAGATGACTTTGAAGACTGCAACTCTCACTGAATCTCTTTCCACACTGTGAGCAATCAAAAGGTTTCTCCCCTGTGTGGGTTCTCTGGTGCTGTTGCAGATGGCCCCTCCTACGGAATCTCTTTCCACACTCTGTGCATTCAAAAGGTTTCTCTTCTGTGTGTGTTCTCTGGTGCTGCTGCAGATGGCCATTCTGACTGAATCTCTTTCCACACTCTGAACATTCAAAAGGTTTCTCCCCTGTGTGGATTCTCTGATGCTGTTGCAAATGGCTACTGCAACTGAATCTCTTTCCACACTCTGAACATTCAAAAGGTTTCTCCCCTGTGTGCGTACTTCGGTGCAGTTGAAGAGTGCCACTCTGACTGAATCTCTTTCCACACTCTGAACATTCAAAAGGTTTCTCCCCTGTGTGGGTTATCAGATGCTTTTGAAGAGTGCCCCTCTGGCGGAATCTCTTTCCACACTCTGAGCATTCAAAAGGTTTCTCCCCTGTGTGGGTTCTCTGGTGCTGTTGCAAATGGCCATTTTGACGGAATCTCTTTCCACACTCTGAGCATTCAAAAGTTTTCTCCCCTGTGTGAGTTCTCTGATGCCACTGAAGAGTGCCACTCTGACTGAATCTCTTTCCACATTCTGAGCATTCAAAAGCTTTCTCCTCTGTGTGAGTTCTCTGATGCAATTGAAGAGTGCCTCTCAGAATGAATCTCTTTCCGCACTCCAAGCATTCAAAAGGTTTCTCCCCTGTATGGGTAATTCGGTGCAGATGAAGAGTACCACTCTGACTGAATCTCTTTCCGCACTCCAAGCATTCAAAAGGCTTCTCCCCTGTGTGGGTACTTTGGTGCAGATGAAGAGTGCCACTCTGACTGAATCTCTTTCCACACACTGAGCATTCAAAAGGCTTCTCCCCTGTGTGGGTTCTTTGATGCTTTTGAAGACTGCCAATCTGATTGAATCTCTTTCCACACTCCAAGCATTGAAATGGTTTCTCCCCTGTGTGAGTTCTCTGATGCCATTGCAGAGTGCCTCTCAGACTGAATCTCTTTCCACACTCTGAGCATTGAAAAGGTTTCTCCCCTGTATGGGTATTTTGGTGCAGTTGAAGAGTGCCACTCTGACTGAATCTCTGTCCACACTCTGAACATTCAAAAGGTTTCTCCCCTGTGTGGGTTCTCTGGTGCTGTTGCAGATGGCCACTCTGACGGAATCTCTTTCCACACTCTGTGCATTCAAAAGGTTTCTCCCCTGTGTGGGTACGTCGGTGCAGTTGAAGATTGTCGGTCCGACTAAATCTCTTTCCACATTCTGAGCATTCAAAAGGTTTCTCCTTTGGTTGGGTTCTCTGATGCTTTTCAGGACTGCTACCCTGACTGAATCTCTTTCCGCCCTCTGAGCATTCAAAAGCTTTCTCTTCTCTGTGTATACCTTGTTGCACAAAGAGCTGTAATCTCTTTCTGTAGTACTTTCCACACTGAATGGATCTACTTGCCTTCATTACACTGTACTCTGGAAAATGTACACTGCACTTTGTTCTATCTCGCTTCATAACCATATGGCCAGCTGTTTTTCTCTCAGATCTGCCTTGATTCCTGACATTTCCTTCTTCATTTTTAACTCTGTCTGGGATTTGCTGATGAAGTTCTTCATCCTCATTCCTCTGATCATCCTCTGCTGGAATAAACAGTGAGATCCTGTTAGAACCTGGAAGGGCTGGTAAGATCCAAAGGCATTTAAGTGACTGCCGAAGGAGTGACAAACCTTTGGCCTTTTCAAGCTTGGCTGATCTTAACCACCTTTCCTCAGAATATCTAAAATTTAAGGATACCACAGCCCCTGAAGAGCTACAACTGAGCTCTTGCCCAGAAGAAGTTTCTGAGCCTCCAGATTTCAGGCCCCTAGAACAGGGGTGTCAAACATGCTGGCCACAAGCCAGATCAGGCTCTCGGAGGGCCCTAATCAGGCCTGCAAGGTTCTGGCTGTTTCCTACTTCCATTTGCCGTTCTGCTGGTGCTGCCGTGTTACAGCTTGCTTTACCAATCTCTCTCAATTGCACAGGAGAGTTCGATAGGCAAGGCTCTCTGTGCAACTGAGAGAGTCTGATAAAGAACTGGCTAAGGCTCCTCCCTCTCCTCCTCTCAGGGGGAGGGAAGGAACAGCTGGAGCTCGCTTTCTGGCCAGGCTGCAGGAGACAAAGTGAAGCCTTTCTATCCTTCCACTGGCTGAGGCTCCTCTCAGAAGGGAGGGAGGGAATGAGGGAGAGTTTGCTTTGCAGGGCTGCCTCAATTGCATGGGAGAAATAACAAGCACCTTCAAGGTATGAGCTTTTGTGTGCCTTGCTACAGTGTGTGTGTGTATTTTGTTGGGCTCTTTATGCCAGGGCTCTCCTGGGTGCAACTGGGTTTCCTCCCCCTTTTCACTGTATTCATGCCCTCGTGATCCAGTCTTTCTCAGTAAGAAAGCAATGTGAACTATTTTAGAGGAGGAATAACAACAAGCCATTGAGGTGGATTAGACTGAGAGTGTGTGTCCAGACCAAGTTCCCCCCCTTTGTAGGAAGTTATGCTTATTTCTCTGGGGAAGAGTATAGTGTTGTAGACAAACACATGGCCCTCAGTCTGTGTTAGGATGCCTTCTCATGTTCTTGACCAGCACATGAAGCAACTTATGTATAAAAGGCTGCAATGCCCAGCCATTTCATGTTTTCCCCTGGGTCCTAGGCTAGGAACACTGAGCATGAGAGTTCTGTAATAAACGTCAATAAATCAAAAGTAGGTTTGTAGCTTACACATACCTGAACAGCACAGACATTTTGATGCAATAATTCAGAGCAAGAGGTGTCAGTTATCGGAGACTGTTAAATAGACAAAATATTGCAAGAGTTCTAGTGTTTTAAAGGTAAAGGTAAAGGTTCCCTTGCTCGAAAGCCAGTCGAATCCAACTCTAGGGTTGCGGTGCTCATCTCCGTTTCAAAGCCGAAGAGCCAGTGCTGTCCGAAGACGTTTCCGTGGTCCTGTGGCCGGCATGACTGAACACCAAGGCGCACGGAACGCTGTTCCCTACCCACCGAAGTGGTACCTATTTATCTACTTGCAATTTCTTGCTTTCGAACTGCTCGGTTGGCAGGAGCTGGAACTAGAGATGGGAGCTCACTCCGTCATGCGGCACACTCGGGTCTCGAACTGCTGAACTACTGACCTTCCATAGCCTGCAGTTCAGCATCTTAACAAGCATGCTTTATTTAAAGTTTTAAAAAACTTGAATTGTGTTCGTCTATGTCCTTTATAAAGTTTATATCTCCGCTACCTGGCCCAAGGTCTCATTTATGTCAGATCCGGCCCTCATAACAAATGAGTTTGACACCCCTGCCCTAGAAGGCCTCCCTCCCTCCTTACCATGAAGGATGATTCTTGTAGTTTGAAGTTATACATCTGTCCTATTCAGAAGAAGAGTCACCAAACCAATACTTTATCCAGAAATTTCGTCAATCTATTGTTTTGGACCTTTGTTCTGGACCATATTGTTATATAGTACTTTGTATCTTACATATTTATCCATATTGCATTGTTATTGTCATTTATTACACTATTTGGACACTATTCATGAGTAATGGTTTACTTTAGCAACTAAACACAGCTTTGTGTTTTCTGTTTCTTATTGTTTATCTGTGGCTGTGGTTCTCTGTGTTTTATGGGATACTCACTCTCAGCCAGCTCATCTGGGAATGAAATATGATCTTCGGATCCTCTTGAGGAATTCTCCAGTGTTTCCTTGGATGCAAGGCTGTTGTCTGTCTCCACCATAGTCTCTCTTATACTTCTGGCTTTTTTTGAAGAAACAGAGAGGGTGTTTATTTATTAATAGCATGGCAGTGTTTGGTGTAGCCAGGAACACCTAAGACTGTCTGGCAACCAAGAAGTTCCAGTTCTTCAGTGCTATGCACTGCTAGGTGGTAAACTAGAGATGTTTTTTAGACGAGGGATGATTAAAAGGTGGTTTCGTCATTGCCTGGCTCTGCGTCATGGCCCTGGTGTTCCTTGGAGGTCGCCCTTCCAAATACTAGCCAGGGTCAACCCTGCTTAGCTTACGAGATCTAACAAAACTGGACTTGCCCAGTCTATCCAGCTCAGTGCAAAGAGAAAGTGAGCATTCTTCTACAGGAAAGGAAAGAAATTCAAAAGTAAAAATTCTTCTGGGACCATGGTAAACATCAAAGCTCACTATCCCAACCAGTACAAAAGGAAGGGATCTGTCAGGCAAAGCACCACAGTTCCCCCAAGGGCTAACATGCTTCTTAAGAGGCCTAGTCCGACTTGCAGGTGCTCGTGATTTGAGCTTCCCTGCAGCTAACATCCTTACCTTTTTTAAGGCCAGACTCCAGAATGTGGTAACTGGTTAAATGTGAGAACCTGTATCCAGTTGTGTAACCAGGAGGGTGCTGACAGACTCTGGAAAATTCCAAAAAGGAGGACCCTGGATTGGGTCGTTGGGAACACCTGACCCTCGAGAGGTAGAAACTATAATCTGGGTATAGACCAGAGACACTTTACACTCACTTTATGCTCATGCCATGCTAGTATGCCTTGATATTTTCTTGCTCCATCATAATGAACCCTTTTATGTAGAATAACCTAGTGTACAAGTGGAACACTTATGTTGCAACAAGAGGTGCCATCTAATACCAAATATTTCATGTATTAGAACAGTTAGTTGTTCTTGCTTTTCTGTTGTTGAGCTGCAGAAACCATCCTGTTTAGTGATGTCTTATTTTTTAATACTTAATAAACCCACACACACACACACATATATACACAAATATATATATATTTACAGGGGTCTGCTTTACTTGTGGGCACTGTCCTTGTGAACCGACTGAACTGGGTCCTGCTCAGGTACAAAGAGGAGGGCACCGCACTTTGGAGAAGCTGGCACATATGTCCCCTCGAAGGGAAAAGTCTGCTGTACATGCAGGAATATGAAGTGTGTTGTTCTGGACAGGATCATTTCCAGATCACAAGCAGAGCAGGTGTTTGTAATCCCATCCGGGGAGAAGGGTGTGTGGTAAAGGTTGTCAACAGAGAAATGAGGATCTGGCCGCTTCCAGAGTCTTTTTCTGAGGGCCTCTCATCCCCTTTGTCTCAGGCCAGGACACCTTCTCTGACTTGGGTGATGGCCACAACACTGACTTCAGTTGCCCTTGGGCAAGTACACACCCCGGAACACAGGAAGCTGCGTTCTACTGAAGCAGAATCTTGGCCGACCGAAGTCAGTATTGTCCACTCAGCCCAGCAGCGTCTCTCAACAGTCTCAGGTAGAGGTATTTCACATCAGCTTCTACCTGATCCTTTGGACTGGAGATGCTGGGGATTGAACCGGGGACCTTCTGCATGCCAAGATGATGCTCTGCCAGTGAGCCACAGCCCCTCCCCAAGTAGCACGACAGGCCTCACAATGGCGCATTGCTATTCAGTATTTTGATTCATGCCTCATCACAATGGCAGAAATGGACACCTATGAAAGCTCCTTACCCAGAAAGGCCACATTCCCGTAGTTCTCCAGCATGACTTCCCTGTACAGAGCTCTTTGTCCCGGATCCAGCAGGGCCCATTCCGCCTCGGTGAAATGGACGGACACCTCCTCAAAGGAAATGGGACACTGAAAGAAAAAGCAGATACCCTCCTCAGAGATCACGCCAGGCAGAGATGGCACACCGAAAGGGAGTAGTCTGGGAAGGTACAGGACACGTGGCTTGGTGTGGGTAAAGGGAACGGCGTTCAGGGGAGCTCTTGCCCGGACACCTTGTAGAAACTTCAGGAGCAAAAGCCCCTCTGAGAAAGGAGGGACCCAAGACTGTCCCCTGCTCATCTCTCCTACCTGGACTGGAGGTGAGGGAGCCGCTTCCACGCCTCTGAAGAGATGATGGCTCAACAGCCTCTCTTCACGGTCTGTTACTGAGACAAAGGAGGAAGGAAGGGTGTTTGCGTGTTTGTTCCCTGCTTCACACAACCCCTTCCCAGGTGGCGATCCCTTGCCCTGTGTACACTCAACAAATCTTTAACACTTTCTACCAAATTCTGGGAGAGGCAGAAGAGAAACACCAGGTAACCATGTGCCTCAGGGATTATAAGTGCTGCCAACATATTTCAGGCTTCTGTGAGACCTGCGTCTGGCCTGAGGGGTGAGGGGAGGGAAAGAGGGGGGCGGAAATGACATCACGTGACACGCCAGCGTCACATTCATCTCAGACATGACCGGAGTGCATCTGGAGACTCGAGAGCACTAGCAATGAGTGTGCCTCGGCACGCTAAGTTCACAAGCAGTTTTTCAGCCAGACGCAACATCTACATGACAACCAGTCCAATGTTCCCTCTAAGCTGTAGAGTCCTGTGAGCAAAAATTCTACTTTGTGAGCTACCGACATCAAATTTGCGAGCAAGCGATTTGGCTGCTGCATAAATTAGTTTGCTCTGGAGCCCCATCCTTCCTGAGCTGAGACAAAAATGTGTGAGCCGGAGGCTAAAAAACTGTGAGCTGGCTCACACTAACTCAGCTTAGAGAGAACACTGGACACCACATCTGCCCCCAGCTGCTCCCCAAAGGCCCTCCTGGGGGTGCCCGGCCATAGCCTGCTCTCCCTACTCTTTTTGTTTGTTTGTTTTCTCTTTTTCTACCAAATGACCCCTGGTCAGAACTACGGCTTGCCCAAGGCCATCCAGCCAGGTGCATGTGGAGGAGTGGGGAATCAAACCCGGTTCTCCCAGATTAGAGTCCACGCACTTAGCCACTACATCAAACTGGCTCTCAGAAGAAGGAGGAGGAGGAGATAGGATTTATACCCCACCCTTCACTACCCAAAAGTGTCTCAGAGCGGCTTACAAACTCCTTTCCCTTCCCCTCCCCACAACAGACGACCTGTGAGGTAGGTGGGGCTGAGAGAGCTCTTGACAGAAACTGCTCTTTTCCAAGAACAGCTCTTATCAGAACTACGGCTTGCCCAAGGTCATCCAGCCAGGTGCAAGTGGAGGAGTGGGGAATCAAACCCGGTTCTCCCCGATTAGAGTCCACGCACTCAACCACGACACCAAACTGGCTCTACTATTTTTTAAAAATGTTTTTATTCATTTAAAAATAATCATTAACAACAATTAACATCAAAAGCATTAAACAAGCATCTACTCTGGCATCCTGTTCCCCACAGCACCCCAACAGATGCCCCTAAAAGTAAGAGCACAGAAGTCAAACTTTTCCATGATCATTGGGCCTTAGAAACTGGTTTTCAAGAGCTCTGCTGCCCCAGAGGGTGGAGGCTCCCTTTGTTCACCAAACTGAAGAGCTCTGCTGAGGATTTCCACTTTTCCTCTTTTGAGCCACCTTGAGTTCCTCTTATGGAAGGAAGGTGAGATATGAATGTTTAAAGTAATGGAAGGAATTACCCTCCATGAATTTGGCTAATCTGCATTTAGAGGCATCACAGTTAGTGGACACGGAATGCCACAAATTCACTCGTGTGAAGAAGTATTTAATTTTTTTACTGACTTTAAGTGCGGGGACTCTAATCTGGGAGAGCCGGGTTTGATTCCCCACTCCTCCACTTGCACCTGGCTGGATGACCTTGGGCAGGCCATAGTTCTGATAAGAGCTGTTCTTGAAAAAAGAGCAGTTTCTGTCAAGAGCTCTCTCAGCCCCGCCTACCTCACAGGGTGTCTGTTGTGGGGAGGGGAAGGGAAAGGAGTTTGTGAGCCGCTCTGAGACACTTTTGGGTAGTGAAGGGCCATGGGGTATAAATCCAATCTCTTCTTCTTCTTAAAATCACAGTGTGCCCCTATCAGGTCCAGGCATGTTGAGTTCTTACCACAGAAGAGGGCATCTAGGGTACGCTCCACGGACTGCCCCCTCGGCCCTTCCTCCGAAGAAGGTCCTTCCTCCTCAGGGACTGTCGCTTCTGTCTTCACGGATGGTTCCGACATCTGAAACAGCAGCAAGGGGGAAGAGGTGGAATGGAAGAGACCAAGGGTCAGTCATAAGTTCTGTCAGAGCTGTTCTTTCAAGGGCAGTTCTTGGGAAAGCTCTCTTAGCCCCCACCTACCTCACAGGTGTCTGTTGTGGGGAGGGGAAGGGAAAGGAGATTGAGACTCCTTCATGTAGTGGAGGGTGGGGTGTAAATCCAATCTCTCCGTCATCTCCTTCTTCTTCTCTACTGAGCAGGCCTTGGAGACCAACCGGCAGCCCCGACCACACAGTGGGAAGGCATCAGGGTCATAAGGATGGGGCTGTGGGTGATTCCAAGACAGGCGGGAGCAGTGCTCCTTCTAAGATGTGGAGTTTTGTGAGCAAAAATCTATTTTGCGAGCGACTGGCAGTAAAGTTGTGAGCCACCAATTTGGCTACTGCGTCAATTAGTTCGCTCTGGAGCCCTCCTTCCTGAGCTGAGAAAAAAAAGGTGTGAGCCAGAGGCTAAAAAAACGTGAGCTAGCTCACACTAACAGCTTAGCGGGAACACCGGGCAGGAGTTCCCTTCCCCCCAAAAAAGCCTTTTCGTAGTCATCTAAGGGGAAAAGACCAGCTTTTTCTTTGCTGGGAGATTAGAATGACCAGCAACAGAACAGCAGTTTTGTACATTTGACCTTTCTTGGACTGAAAGACATTGATTATTGCAGCCCACCCCCAAAACCAAAATCTGATTTCAGAGCAGTGCAAAACGGGCGCCTAGCAGGGTTGTCAACCTCCAAGTGGGGCCTGAAGTTCTCCCTGAATTACAACCAACCTGCCGCTGACAGAGACCAGTTCCCCTGGAGAAAATGGCTGTACTGGGGACAACGACGACTCTGGGGCCTTGTTCCCATCTGAGTGGGTGTCTGTTCTGGGGAGGGGGAGGGAAAGGAGTTTGTCAGCCGCTCAGAGACTCCTTCGAGTAGTGATGGGCGGGGTATAAATCCAATCTCTTCTTCTCTTCTCAGTCCCTCCCGTCCCCCAGAATCCACTCCTCCCCCCTCCCCAAAAAGGGGGGAATTTGTGATCCGGTAGTTGCCAATCCTCAGGGCTCATTATTCTGTTGACCTTGTTTGTTGTCAAAACCCAGGGCCTTTTTTTGTAGCAGGAACTCCTTTGCATGTTAGGCCACACACCCCTAATGTAGCCAATCCTAAAGAGTTTCTGCTGTTGGGTGTGGCCTATTATGCTAATGAGTTCCTGCTGGGCGTGGCCAACTCGGGAGCCAGCCGGAACTCTGTTCCTGTGCGTTCCTGCCCAAAAATAGCCCTGCCAATCCTATGCAAACCATGGCTGAGAATGATCCCAGCCTCCCTTCCTTCCAAGATCTCAAAGCTCATCCCCAGGCCCGTAGCTAATGCGGGCCCCGGCCCCCTCGCATTTCTTCTGGGGCCCCCTCCCTCCCGGGCTGTCCCCCAAGTGCCTCAACTCGCCACCTGTGTGCCTCCAACCTGGCTGCCCGACAACTGAGCTCCTTGGGCACTCCAGAGAAGTGGAATCCTTCGTCCTCAGAGCTACCTTCCGACACTCCCCTCCCATTTAAATGCAGCCAATTGCCGGCAGCTCCTGCCGGCTTCTCTTCCTCACCATCCACCCTCTCTTCACCACAGGACCGGTCTCTGTACTCCAGCCCGCATGTGCCTGCTTTAAAAACCGCCTGCCTCCCCCCCCTCGCCCGAGTCCCCCCAAGAAACCCCATGGGAGTTTTTCTAAGGGAGCCGCGGAGAGCGTGTGCCAGAGGGGCAGCCCTTTACCTGCACTTTGAGCTGCCCCTGCGAGGCGCTCGGGCTGGCTCACTCACTAAGCGAACTAGGCGCTCGCCTAGAGCGCACCGGCCCTTAGGGGCACCAAACTGGCACCACCACCCCTGTCCTGGTTCAGCTGCAAACACTACTGAGCTTTAAACATGTTATGATCTTTCTGATGATACAAACACCAATTCCACCAAAGAACTTAGCCCTCTGGGCACATAAGGGTCACTCAGCTGAATCAAAGAAGA